GCCTGGAGCTGCGTTCGAGGAGCTTTCGGTGCAGCGGGCGCAGCCACAAAGGCTGCGAGCTGGGTGGCCACGTACCCTGCCGCCACAAGGGACAGGCAAACGAGAGGGCGGCTCGCACGCGGCATCGTCTGGAGCGCTACGGCTGGGCCAGAGGGGCAACGCAGACTCGCAAAGGCTTGAGCCAAGTTGGGTTGAGCACAAGGTTCTGAAGCTGGACCGTCCGGTGATTCGGGGCCTGACAGCCCCTTCTCGCGCCTTTGGGCCGGAGACACCGTTGCGACGAGCGTGGTGCAGCAGTTCCTTCGTGCCCAGGGTACGAGGCCGGTTCCATCTAACATCAAGGCCTTCCAAGCTGGGTTTTATATATGCTTTAGCTGGAACCCCCTAGACCCATGTCGAACGGGAAACCCTGACGTCGCACGAGTGCTGAGCAGGGCCACAATACTTATGCAATTGGCGAAGGTTCGGTGAAGTACGTTCACCCTGTCTTTCGCAGATACATGCCAGATGCACGCAGCGAATATTGAAGTTGAAGTGAGGCCGGGAATCCCACCGAGCGCTGGCCGCAGCAACCTCGAGAAGCAAGGCCAACGGCACGCAGCTACACAACAAATCTTCGAAGGGGGCAGCTGCCCCGCCAAATCTACAAATATACACCTTCAACTCCGCAATTCTTTGCAGAGCCACCCTCGAGGCCCGTCCCATCTCGTTTCGCCGGGCAGCTGCGTCAGCGGATCGTTTCGAAACGGGACATGCGGCTTTCCGTCAGCCAGCGCAGCCACCACCTAAGCTAGGGGCCTTGGTATCGTTTGGGGGTATGTTATGAGCCCAAGGCTACACCTCGGAAGCTTGACGATGCAAACCTCGGAGGTTTGCGCAGATCCGCATATCGACGAAACGCTGAAGCGAACCCGAAGCAGCTACCTAACTCTCCATCGCTGTCAGATGTCTCTGTCCCTCTACGTGTACGTACGTGTGAATCATGCATTCCCGTATGCTTAGATAGGCAGATAGATCTATAGATAGATCGATCGATCGACAGGTGGATAGATAGACAGGTACTGTTAGACGTATGCATGCAAGATGCAAATAAGCAAGCAAGCAAGCAAGCAAGCAAGCAAGCAAGCAAGCAAGCAAGCAAGCATGCATGCATGCATGCATGCATGCATGCATGCATGCATGCATGCAGGTATGTATGTATGTATGTATGTATGTATGTATGTAT